TTTGTCGTTGTTGTCGTCGTTGTTGTCGTTGTCGTTGTTGTTGTTGTTGTTGTCGTCGTTGTTGTCGTTGTTGTCGTCGTTGTTGTTGTCGTTGTCGTTGTTGTCGTTGTTGTTGTTGTCGTTGTTGTTGTCGTCGTTGTCGTTGTTGTCGTTGTTGTTGTTGTTGTTGTCGTTGTCGTTGTTGTCGTTTTGTCGTTGTTGTCGTTGTTGTCGTCGTTGTCGTCGTCGTCGTCGCCGCCGCCGTTGTGGTTGTTGTTGTTGCTGCTGCTGCTGCTGTTGTTACTGTTGTTACTGTTACTGATTTTCGTGTTCTACTTCTCAAAACGTTTCGCTCTCTTTTTCTTTCAGCTATTGTCAATATTGTCGAAAGTGCTTTCTGGCTTACACGACTTCTCGTTATTATTTTCCATGGTAAGAAATTAACTTCTTTGTCTCTGAAAAGAAGCAATGCATAAAAATGCATTGTAAAATAACATGTACATAACGCGTATTCTGATTGGTCGAAACCCGTGTTTGGATCAGGCCATCCAAACACGGAAGACTATCGTGTTGTTGTTATTTTATAAAACAATTACTTTATGGTTTCCGTGTTTGGATGGAATGATCCAACCACTTGGGAATGTTGCTCGAGTTAAGAAAAGCGGGCAAAATCACTCGCCTTCGGCTCGTGATTTCGCTCGCTTTTCTTAACCCTCGCAACATTCCCGCGTGTTTGGATCAGGCCATCCAAACACGGAAACCATAAAGTAATTGTATATTCGTAGTTTTTACTCAAAATAAGTTTTCATTATCTTTATTTCCAGAACAATTTCTTACGCTTTTTGGATTTATTTCAAAAAGAGTCCGTGAAAACGGATGCGTGTCGACTTATTATGGAGGCATTTTGCAGGTACCTTGGATATATGTATTCCTCGATTATAATGAAAGATTTCACATCTTTTCACACTCTAATAACTGTCGCTTGACTGCCTTCTCAGTACCACTGACACGATTCCCTCAAACATTTCTTACAAATCCTTCACAACTTAGAATTTACCCAATATGCAAAATTCCTACAGTGATCACAGAAACTTTGATAGTGTAAATCAGGACTTTTAAAAGTTTTATATGGGGCCCATAGGTGGAAAAAACCGTCGAGCACGCGAGTCTCGCTCGCACGAAATGCTAAACAGCTGCAGAAAATTTGTTACATTGAACAGTTTGCGACTTAAAAATTTGAAGGAAATACCACTATGGGCCCAACAACTTATGGTTGACAGACATCTTTTTTTCTGAGTTTAAAACCATGGTCAACCAGGACAACACTATGTTTGGGCACATAATTAGCACAAAAATATTCAGTTGGTCTGCCATTTTTGGGTTACTGCCTTTTCCAAATCTGAGATTGTACGCAGTGAATAAGGAATTTGTATAACTATAATTGTGATTATAATCATCATAAGTTAATTTTCAGTTAAATATTTGAAAAAAATGTTTTCACATCGCTTAGATTTTTCACGTCGTTTTCAAAAAAGTACCCCAAAAATGGCGAATTTGGCCTTCGTGAGAAAGGCTAATTGTTTACCTCCAGCTAAGCTGTACTCCCAGGAAAAACTATTTTCTCCAGCCATGATGGAGCCCACTGATCCATGATCGAGCCCACTCGTCCCAACTGTTTGGTATCAAAAGTGTGTAAGGGTATTCCACCCCTCTTGTTTGAGCTTGGAACACAGTTTTAGTTTTCTGTTACAGATATCAAACAGAGAGTACAAATGATCCCGTTATCGTCAATGGTTTGATGTTTGTCTGTAAAACATTACACGACTCTGTGAGGTAGGATATACTTGGAAGAAATTTAAATATTTCTACAAATCCTTCAGTCGTAATGCTTAAAATGGTATAGGATTGACCAGTTAAAGTGTTTGTGACACAATCGTTAGTCCATGCGACTTTGACCTCTGTGATGGGGTTTGCATGATTCTTGCAATATACAGTTGTCTGATCAGAATTTTATATCAGTTGCTCGTGAGAAGAGTGCTTCCAGTTTGACTCTACCAAACCATGGCCGGATTTTGAGGGGAGGTGTGGGGAGGTGCGCACCTTCCCTAAGATCGTTTCGCACCTCCCCTGAGAATTTTTGAACCTCCCCTGAAAAGTCATGCACCTCTCTTGGGAAAGTTTCAATGATAGATCAAAGTGAAAGCTTTACATTTTTGGTTGCCTAGAGTCTACACTTCGTACGAAAGTTTTTATTTAAAATTGAAACAGTGATAGCCATTCATCTCTGTGTCAAGTATTCTTTTAATGCAATGTTTCGAAAGAAACTTTGTAGTGATTGTAATGAAGGCCAAAATTGTATGAGTTGTACAGTCATAATTCATTAATACACTGATACATATGTAACCAGAAACTCGACGTTTCGAGCGAAGGCCCTTCGCCAAGAGTTAGTAACCACTCAGCACAGCATTTTCACATTGGTACTACCTACACTGGTACAGACAGTTTTTGATACATATGTACACTACATGCATACGTCAGGTCGTTGACTTTGGCCCGTTCTGAGCCCTAACTTCCCATGGGGGTCGTGAGCTAGACCGCTGCACCTCCCCTAAATTTTTTCCACCTTCCCCACTATTTCCACCAAAATCCTGCCTTGGTACCAAACATCGCAGGTTTTCTTTTAGTAATCCAGTTTCCTCCTGAAGTAACACTAGACCAATAATAAACAGCCTTTACCTCTATGGAGAACATTCCTAGGGCCGGTTGTTCAAAGGTGGGTTAGCGCTAACCCTGGGTTAAAATTTAACCTGCTGTTTTAGTTCGTGTATTTCTACACGTCTGTTTATTTCCAAACATCAGAGAAATAAACTCCTATCGATCCAGACAAGATCTTTGAAGAAGTATTTCCAAATTTATAGAATTGAAGTTTGCTTTGAATTTTGGGTTAATCTAGGACCAAACTAACCCAGCTTTGAACAACCGGCCTCAGAACTATTAGAATTAAGCAAAGCTCTAAATAAAAATATTATATAAATACAAAATAGATTAATAAACAAATGGATGAATGAGTAAAGCTGTTCATTTTAAATAAACTAAGTCTTTTTTGTATAGTTCGCTAACATTGGATGATGAGAAGAGAGCAACTGGTCAACTGGTTACAGGGTTTGTTCGAAAGATTGATTATGGCCGCGATTTTGAGCAACAGTTGAATTTTTTTGTCGAAGCAAGAGCGTCATTTTGTAATTTGGATCCAGTTCTTGTCTGTCTCGTACAGGTAAGTTGTCGTCTTACACGCTTGGGGTGTTGGTTCCCTTCTACTCTTGTAAATTTCGACCGTTTCGGAATATTTCATTATCTTTTTTATTGTTTTCTTTCCATTGTCTGTTCTTCATGCCATCCAGTCACGATCCAGTTATCGGAATGTCCCATTGTTTTGAAAATCCCACTGTTCTTTATGCCATCCAGTCATGATCCAGTGATCAGAATGTTCCATTGTCTTTTCATTGTTTTGAAAATCCCACTGTTCTCCATGCCATCCAGTCATGATCCAGTGATCAGAATGTTCCATTGTCTTTTCATTGTTTTGAAAATCCCACTGTTCTCTATGTCATCCAGTCATGATCTAGTGATCAGAATGTTCCATTTGTCGTTTCATTGTTTTGAAAATCTCACTGTTCTCCATGCCATCCAGTCACGATCCAGTTATCGGAATGTCCCATTGTTTTGAAAATCCCACTGTTCTCCATGCCATCCAGTCATGATCTAGTGATCAGAATGTTCCATTGTCGTTTCATTGTTTTGAAAATCTCACTGTTCTCCATGCCATCCAGGCACGATCCAGTGATTGGAATGTTCCATTTGTCGTTTCATTGTTTTGGCATATTTGTGCCATTATGCAAAGGCAATTTCGCTAAGAATTGCAAACGACAAGTGAAAACAGTCGTTCTCTGCTGGTTGTAAATTTGATTATTTTTTTAGTGTGTTAATTTGTTATCAATGAAAACAAGAACAATTGTGAAAGGCAACCACACAAGAAAGACGGCAGCATTTATTCGGGTGAATATGTCATGCCATATTAGACTTAAACTTAACTCTAAGATGTCTGTTCTAGTGGCACAACGTAGCTTCTTAATGAGGGATGACGTCATCCATCAACGATATTTGAGTAGATAAATTTTGTCACAGCAAAAAAATGTATGTGACAATTTTTTTTGTGATCGGACCAGTGTCCGATCAAAATTACTTTTGCTCGGACATTTGCCAAATTTAGTCGGACATTGTCCGATGTCCGACAGTAATTTGCAGCCCTGCCTCAGAAAGCCTTCGTCTTGATCAGGTTGAGCTGAGTCCCTCGTAATTCAGCTTAGCTCTCAGCTGCAAGTAAGGATCATTAGCCTCACCCACTTATAAGGGGCAACTTTAAATCTCCGCTGATGAAAAACACTAACTGGACTAGAATGTCGGAACGTTGGCTTTTTGATATAACTTGTGTTCTTAATTCCTCCATAGGCTTGTGTTGCGTTCTCATTCATCACCATCCCATCAATTCAAGATATTTTTAACCGCCTTACTTTGTACCTCGAGTCGGGGAAAGTCGCATTCGCTAATCAAGCTCTTAGCCAAGGCAAGTATTGGCAAGGTGTCAGTAAAGGCTGGCAGGGACGTAGCGAAGCATCTGAAGTTGGGAGGTCGTAGGATTTTACCTGAAATTTGAATTTCAATGTTGCATTTTTCTAAAGTAAATTCGCAAACAAATTGGATGTAAATTGACTGTATTTTACAAAAATGGTTATCTTTTCACAAAAATAATTACTTTATTACGCAAATTTTACCTGAAAATGTAAAAATTTTACCTTGAATTTTACCTGATTTTTGCTTGAGTTTCACAGTTGGGGGTTATACCCCACACACCCTAGTCGCTACGTCCCGGAAGGCTGGTTTACACTCCCAAAGTTTCTATGATCACAGTAGGAATATTGCATGAGTAAATTGTAAGTGATGAAAGATTTGTGTGAGGAAACTGATTCAATGTTTAACATCGAGCCGGTTCCCGCAAGCATTTCTTACAAATCCTTCAAAACTTAGAATTAATAGAGGTTTCCTTTATAAAAACACTGATATACGTTTTCTTATGAATTTAGTGTCAAATATTTATGTTTTTATTTCCAAATTAATCCAGGTGATGCATTCCTAAAAGCCGCAATAAGTTTGCTTTTGGAAGTTCCAAAAACGATTGGTAAGACAAGTTGAAATATTGTTTTCATTGGAATCTCTTACTCTTCAATATTTTCAAGAACTTTCACGCTAATATTACTTTGTTATATGAATTTTTAGAGATTGACAGCAAGTCAAAATCCTCCGAACCGTTTCTTCTTTCATACCTAAATAATTTCCTATCGTTTCTTCTCGTTGTTCCGGTAAGTTTTTAAATGAAAAAAAAGATCTGACCTCTAGGGAGAACAGTTTAGAACTGATAGAGCTATACAGTATAAATAAAGTTAGTTTCGTTTAGGTTTCTTCCTGTCGTAATACTGGATCAATATTAAGAGATGATTCGACAGTAAATGGACCTCTAGGAAGAACAGTTTAGAACTGATACAGATATCAAGTGTAAATAAAGTTAGTTTAGTTGAGGTTTCCTCCTCTGGTAACACTGGATGAATAAGAGATGATCCTTACTGAACCTCTAGGAAGAACAGTTTAGAACTGACAGAGCTATCCAGTATATATAAAGTTAGTTTAGGTTTCCTCCTGTAGTAACATTGGATCAATAAGAGATGATCCTTACTGAACCTCTAGGAAGAACAGTTTAGAACTGATAGAGCTATCTAATATAAATAAAGTTAGTTTAGTTTTCCTCCTGTAGTAACACTGGATCAATAAGGATCTCTAGGAAGAACATGCAGTTTAGAACTGATAGAACTATCTAGTATGATAGAACTAGCCTAGGTTTCCTACACTGCATCAATAAGGGATAGTGATTGTGTGTCATTCTCTAGGACCACCCTGACCAAGGCGTGCTGTATTTAGTTCGAGGTCTTCTCAATGTTATCGAAGATTATCCCTGGGACTCACAAACCGATGCGAAAATGAAAGTCTATCTGAACGTTATCTCCCTGTTATCAGCCATGACACAGGTAAGGAATTTTTAAACATATCCTAAATATCCGACAGAGACGAATTATCAAACGAAATGTTCTTTGCCCGAGTTCGTCCATACGGACCATCCATCTCTATAGTATAAAACGGCCGTTTAATACAAGAATATTTTCTTCGTATTTCAGGAGTCATATTTTTATCATATGGAAAAAGGCAAGCAAACTTTCTTTTTTCTAACATACAGAGAGTGTACAACTGTACATGTATATAAATGCAACTTAGGCCCTCTGGCAGTAATCCAACCTGCGATTCCGGTGCAGCGCTCTAACCAACTAGCTACAGAGTCCAGGTGGTATACTGGGTGCCCCCCAAGAACTGGACACTGTTTGATTTCATGTAACGTAAAAGCCATAAAAGCTATCGCAATGAAATAAAGATCATTGCATTCAGAAAGAACTAACTTAGATTTTGATATATAACACTTGAATTTGCATACAATATTGAGCGAGATACAACCAAAATAAAAATATTATTTAACAAGTATAGCTTCATTAATTTAGTTTATTGTACGATCATCCAGATTAAATTTTTTAAATTATTTCTGACGTTTCGGCTACCTACACGGCAGCCATTATCAAAGACGTATTACAGTGGCTGCCGTGTAGGTAGCCGAAACGTCAGAAATAATTAAAAAAATTTAATCTGGATGATCGTACAATAAACTAAATTAATGGAAAAACCCAGATTCAAGCCTTTCAGTGAAGTATAACTTCATCAGTAAGGTTGTTTTGTGCTAATTTTTGGCATTTTCAAAAACAGTAGTTGAACAGTAGTAGTTCAAACATTAATAGCACAGTCATGTAAATTCAAGTGCTGTATATCAAAATCTAAGTTAGTCCTTTCTGAATGCAATGATCTTTATTTCATTGCGATAGCTTTTATACCTTTTACGTTACATGAAATCAAACAGTTTCCAGTTTTTTGGGAGGACACCCGGTATATTTATGTTTTTTTATATGTCTTGTTAATATTTCAGTTGTTTCAAACGATGGGATGTATGGAAACGATAAAAAATTTATTGCTGAAGTTCATAAAATAATCTCGACAGTCATAGAGGAAATATTAAGACACTTGCAGACTTTGTCGGGAACGGAGGTACGTTTTATTTATTCATGTATAAATTGAAGAAATTTAATGCTTTCCTAAAACTGGTTACTGTATATTTATATTTTAGACAAAAAAGAGACAGGCTAGTCTGGCCCTGGATTTTTTCAATAGGTGAGAATCCATGATAGTGTTAAAAACTTCACTACGTAATGAACTGGTACATATTTTGATGAGAGTTTTTCTTTGTTTGACTGTTAATATCCAGTCAATTCTGATCAACTCTCATGCAACTCGTGTTTTCTTTGACTGGGACACGAGAGTTGAGAAAACTCACATGCAAACTCTCGCTTCTCAACTCTCACCAACTCTCATGCAACTCTTGTTCTCGTTTGACCGGGGCATGAAAGTTGAGAAAACTCTCATGCAAACTCTCGCTTCTCAACTCTCATCAACTCTCATGCATGCAACTCTTGTTCTCGTTTGACCGGGGCATGAGAGTTGAGAAAACTTTCACGCAAACTCTCGCTTCTCAACTCTCACCAACGCCCATGCAAAACACTAGCACTGGGTTTAAAAACAACAAATCCAAAGTAACTCATTTCTCACTGAAGGTTACTGGGTTGTGCAGACTTGGCGAATGAAGATATGTGTATGCTCGCCGTCAATCTCTGGAACTTCGCGCAAAATAATGGACAGAACGATGCTAAATTGATGGTTGGTTACATTCATTGCTTTATTTTATTTCGAGACTCGTATAAATCTAGTATGTATTTTGTATTTTCAGGCACGTACTTATGAATTTCTCAAGAAGAAAGGGAAATCAAGGCCCGAGGTTTCGACTCTTCTTGGGCGGTTACCACTTGTGTCGCGTGCGTAAGAATGAACAAATTGAATCAATTTCCAAATGGATAATTCCAGCTACAGACGAAATTTTGATCTAGACAAGAAAAACGAAATCCATTACCATAGCTGGAAAGAACATCTTAAGATGAGTAAAATTGCAAAGGTTGCGAATTGTTGTAAAATGAGGAAAATGTAGTCCTGTGAAGTTTGCAAATTTTGTATATATTTGTATTACGCGCGGGAAAAATAACCATTTTTGACCCAAACTGGCGAAAGTGTTTATTTTTACCGCGCGTAATGCAAAATATATACAAATTTTTCGAATTTCACAGGGCTATATTTTCTTCATTTTACAACATTTAGCAACCAATCTTTGCAGTTTTACTCATTCTAAGACGCTCTTTCTAGTGTTGGATTTCGTTCTGATCGTGCCTTAATGATCAAAATTTAGTCTATAAGCTGTAATCACCCATTAATTTTGTACTAGGCAAATGTATACGTATAGAAATGTTTTCGTGATTTTCAAAGCTATAATTTTCGATGGTAAATTATTGTCTAATTTATAAAGGGGTGAGAATTTCTCTTTTTAAAATATTTTTATACAACTGTTTTGTACGGAACTGAGTGATACGCATTATAAGCTGAAATTAAGATGCCAGTTTGAATCTCATTGAAAAAAACCCAATTCTCGTTCGTTGAATATCTCAACAGCAAAAAGATCTATTAAGGGCATTAAGTGATTACAGTAAAAATAATTGACCAATGGACCCCTTATAACTAAAATTTCGATCTAGACAAAAATTTCATCACAGCTTGAAAGAGCATCACAAAATTAGTAATATTCCAAAGTTTTGTTGCAAAATCTTGTAAAATGCGGATAATATAGCCTTGCGAAGTTTGCCGTTTTTCAGTCATTTTGTATTAAAAACGGGAAATTGACATCCGATTCGGGTGTTGGGGCTGCAATTTCCCGTTTGTAATGCAAAATGACTGAAAATTGCAAACTTTGCAAGGCTATATTATCCGCATTTTACAACATTTCGCAACGAAACTTTGGAATATTACTAATTTTGTGATGCTCTTTCAAGCTGTGATGAAATATTTGTCTAGACTTGCCTAGATCAAAATTTTGGTTATAAGGGGAAAGGTCTATTAACCAATGTAATTATTAGACAACTGACATGAGACCATATTCATAAATCGTGATGAGACTCGTATCCTAGGAAACGGGTAAAAACGCGGGAAAATTGACAAAATGTTTTTTTTTGCTGTCGGCTATGACAGCTTTTTTTCGTGAATATTACGGCTTCTTTCGAAAATAATATCTATAAAACTGAGCTTGAAAGTTGAAAAAAACACTTCTCTGAGAAAATATAACATATTTAAAGCAAAAGATGCTGGAGTCAATCGAAAAAGGAAACCTTTGACAATATTGCCAAGTTTGTATGGGCAAAACAAACAACCAACAAGGCTACAAAACGTCTATACAACACCAAAATCGTAAGAAATATGAAACTATTGTTGAAGAAATAGGATTACAACTCACTCAGGTAATGTTGCCTTCATTTTTTAAACTTGTATTTTTAAACTTGAATGTTATCGAGCCACGTACAGCCATACATGTATAGTTCATGTTTCCGTACGAATCAATAACATAATTTTGACGTTCTCTTGTGATTTTTGACTGTTTTCTTTCATATTTATGCCAAATTCGAAAAATTATACTTTCATTCCATAGTTGTCTTGATTCTTCACGGAATAACCTTTATATTGAGTTAAAATCTCAGTAAAATACTGTTTTTCGCTACGTTGTCATTTTTCCACACAAAACGGGAGAAAAACCGGTCGCTTTTATAGTATACTCGTTTACCGCTTTTGTTGTGGGCACAAAGTCTTATTAAAAGTACACACAAAAATCGTTATAAATCGCAAAAAGCAACAGGAAACAAGCCGTTAAAGTCGACACAATAGTATCTGAATTTGGCTTCAAGCAGTTTTCGCTTGTTTTCCCGCGTTTTGTCCCCGTATCCTAAGATACGAGGCCTCGTCACGATTTATGAATAAGGTCTATTGCTTATAATTGTGACAATTCAGCTAGACAAATCTTTCACTTCAGCACATGCTCAGAAAATGTAAATGTTTATGATAATAACATAGAATATAACAAAGTTAACTAGGCATTTCATTTGTGTAGAGTTATTCCTCATGTGTGTAATCCTAACACTTTGTTCTATATTCTAAGAATTGCACACTTTTCTAAACAGACATCCATATCTCCAGGAACTAAAAGTGCACTTTCATGTTTTCGAAAGTTGTGGAATATGGGTACAAATGGCAGCAAGTTGGTATAGTCTTCAGTGAATACAGCTACTAATGTGATTGCTGATAATGTATCTAAAGACAATTAAAATCTATAAAAATTGCAGAAAAAAATACTTTGCATTTTTATTTACAAAAATTTCTACACTATGGCCCTGTGTGTAGTTCGATATTCATTGAATTCCTAAATCCTGAGCTTCCTTAGCCTGGAAGAAAGTGTACGAGAGAGTGATAGTGTCCACTTTGTACAACGCTGGGTCATCCAAGAACTCTGGATCAATGTAGAAGAACACTGGCATATCAACCTGGAAACAAAGATAATGTCAAGGGATACACCTTTCCATCAGAATACTGGGTTTTGGTGGGGGTGTTTGGGGAGAGGGGGTGTTTGGGAAGAGGGGGTGTTTGGGGAGAG